GCAAACTTTATCCAACAGTGAAGTTAATACTATGGATTCTCAGTTGGAGGTAGGTGTCAATTTCTTGCATTACAATAACCATCACGAACACTTCTAACTCTTAACTCCATACTTGTTGATTGTAAAAGGCTTTTTCATCCATCCAAAAAACTTCTCTTTGTTGGTGTCATGCTCACACATAAATATGTCACTTGCAGGGCCTGCACCTTGCTGCTGATAATCATATAGAAGAGACGAATGCTGATACCAAAGATCTCGGATTGGAGTCAGCTACGCATTTACGAGGTATGGCGAAAAGTTGCACATACAGCTGATATTCTTAGCACAAGCTGAGGAGAATATTAGATGACAAGTTTTAGTGTAGTTTGAGGCTTCTAAATTTCATGTTTGGATAGGTCACTCAGCAGGTGTTCAGAAGATGGAGTTCACTGACTCTACTAACTCTGCTGGATCCCTGAAAGAAAGGGAAAATGCACTAGAAAGCCCTCAGAGAAAAGCTCTTTCCCCAGTTAATTCCAATGTAAATCCACAACCCCTTGAACAACTATCATCTCCCAAAACACCCTTTCTTTCTAGCTTGGGAAAGAACAATTCACAAACCACGGTCACCCCTGTTGATAATAAATTCTGTACATGGAGTAATAGTTTGAAGGTATGGCAAATATTTGATTATCTGATATTCATTCCCTAGAACCGCGGCTGATTTTTTATTTTTTAAGAATCTGATTTGTTCTGATGTGCAGAATTGTGTTGTACAAGAATATATCCATTTCCTAAATACAGCCAGCAAGTAAGTTTTACTTGTTTATCTTTTGCAGAGAAGTAAGTGGCTAGTATCAGAAGTTTAAAAGTAAATGATTTTGAACTTTGTTATCTCTGCAGAGAAGAGCTCGTGGAGCTAAAGGTAAATTAAATTGTGAAGTTGGAGATGAAGGTAAAATTGTGCTGTTTGAAGTTTTTTATTGAGATTTTTGAGCATATTTGTCCAGGGAATTGGGTGGAAAATGGCAGAGAGTATATGTGAAGTGAGGGAAACAAGTCCCATAAAAAAGGTGAGCAAAATTACAGCTAAAATTTACATCTTTTGCTATATATATATATATATGTGAACTGAGTTTCTATTTTGTTTTTCCTTCATATTTTCATTATTTATTATGAATAATGTGTTTTCAACAGCTAAAGGACTTGGAGAAAATAGGCCTCTCATGGAAGCAGGTGCATAACATGTTCGGCAAAGCGGCTAGAGGAATATTTGACACAGCACAACCCAGCAAGGAGTATTTAGTACTTTAAGCTCGTCTTTAAAAGACGAAAAATTTGTGTAATTTTAAGATTCTATTTGAATAAATTTTATTAAAAATTAATTAATATATGATAATGACCGTAATTAAATTATAATATGTTAATGATATTTTTTATTTAGATAATAGAATGATATAATTATATTTTTATTTAAATTATATTGTAATAATATATATAAAAAATTAAATTTATTA